AATTTTGACAAAAATAATGCAGAAAAGCCAATTGCTATACCAAAACAAAGTAACAAAACTCATCAAAAAGCCTCTTGCAAATAAAAGCATACCATATCACTATGCTTCATGAATCAAGTATGAACTGTCTTTAAAAAGTGTACCTAATATCAAAACTGAACACTGGTTTTAAGATTTCAAACTTACAAAATACAAACATCATTTTTAATCCTTTCAGTGGTTTTCCCTTTCCTTTTACCGCTTTAATCTTTAAGTGGAAGAATCCTAATCTTATCAGATGTAAGAAACACCCTCAATATCTTCAGTCACACTGTGACACAACTTGTACATGTACACTGCACCTGTTGACAGCTTAAATTCCCCAAAAGAAGCCAACCAACAGCTGTTTACACATTTTTTTTTCCAAGGGCACTCTTATTTGAGTGTGGAGGTAATTCTACTGGACTGCTGATTCCTCATCTGATACATGTACATGTACAATGTATTTGCAGTAAACCTAAAATGTTTCCCATCACAATACATGTACATGTATCTTTTCTCTCCATAAAACTTGTCATGCTTTTGAGGATACAGTTTTCTGCAGATGAAAACAAGCTCACGTGCAAAACAGTTTGAAGCTACATGTACAACCACAGAATATTGTCTACCGAGCTACACTGTACACTGCACATTTGGGTTTTGTGCAGAATTTATTAGTGTGAAAGAATACGAGTGGTTCATAATAGTGCGACTCCAAGAGTTTGCAATGTGTTGGCCAATCACAACAAAAGAAATCTGTCAACCCTTTCCAAACGCGCACTGGGTTGACAGATTTCATATATCGTGATTGGCCAACGCGTTGTAAACTCTTGGAAGCGCACTGATATGAATTGCTCATATTGGAGATCATCTAATAATTATTCACAACTTTTTTGTTTTCAGTAAGTTTTCAATTTAACACACCAAACAGAAGTTCAAACTGTCTAACCATCAATGCAGTGTTGTAACCAGGTCATTTTTCTGAAAGTCAAGACTCAAAGTCATTTTTCCACAAGTCTACTCAAACCTGTTTTCCCAAGTTGCATCCTGAATCACATCTATTTTTATATGGGCAATTAACAATAGTGCAACTCCAAGAGTTTGCAACGCGTTGATCTATCACAACGTACGAAATCTGTTGACCCTTTCCAAGCATTCATTCGTCAACAGATTTCACTCACTGTGACTGGTCAATGCGTTGCAAACTCTTGGAGGTGCACTACTGTGAAACGCACACATTGTGAAATGTGGCTGAGGTTTCACAAAACAGGTCCAACCTGTCAGCTTAGGGGCTGTTCAAAGTTTTCAACATTTTCACAGTATAGAGTACTATTTTTCAAGGTCCCCTCCCACAAATTAGTACTTATCAATATTTTGCTATTGGTATCCTGAAATATCAACGAACTCCAGCAGGCACTACATTGTTGGAAAGTGCCCATTATTAAGCATATAGATATCATTTTTGAAACCTTCATGTTTTAAAAATAAAAAGGTTCAATATGAAAAAACATTGTTTGGACAAATTATTGATAAAGAAACGTTTTTCCCATCAATGATCTCGTGCACATCCCGGTACCAGGGCAAAATTAACGTTGGTAAAAATGAATACCGTGTTAGGAACGATGCACCATGATGTCAAAGGTTATTCAGTAAATGTACTGTACTGCTGGTGTATCATGCTGTGTGCTTGCACTAACACTCGTAGGCTGGGTTTCATGTAAATTGTACATGTATGTACGCCCGCAGTGCATCATATCAATATGGGCCACGCCACGATGGGTAGGCCCACAGTACATGTACACAGAAGTACATACATGTTGATACTGTCAACAAGTCAAATATGTTCAAGTGAAATCCAAGTTATTTTCTCAAAGGTCTTCAGGCAAAAAACCTGTGACTCAAGGACTCAGAATAATTGGGTCAAGTCACAAATTTGGAAAAAAAAATTGCCTATAAAACTTTTAGGGTAGCACCAAAAAATTAGGGTCAGTGTGGAAACCTAAAGCGTGGAAACCAGCCTGGAATCCAGTGTGGAAACCAAAAGCACAAAAAACTTCCTATTTTTGTCCCTACATGATCATGTGTGTCAGGGATGCCAGTTTAATGACTTAACATTACATACACATGATGCAGGCATTCTCAATTTTCACTACCCTCAAAGGCTGAAAATTTAATTTGTGCAGAAAAAGAAAAACATTTTATATCAAGCCTTTAACTAAAGAAAATCTGCTATGCGTGTTTGATCATTACTCAGAGGCCAACAAGAGAATTAGTTATGCACAGCCTAACTGCATATAGAATCACTCCCCGTTCACTCAAACTTTTGTTGCTGCAAATGGACACACTGCATTCAGTTTTTTCACACGTACTCGTACCCATACAGCAAACAATAGCAAGCCGAATGTAATGGTATACTGTCTAGGACCGCAGCATAGTGCATATGCACAGTTTTTAGAGACTGCAATGCATGCAATATACACGTACATGTTGGTAATACTACGGAGTACTGTAAGGTTTATCACAATACATTTCTGATGCAATAATAGAACTACAACAGCAATAAATTGTTTGTAATTTTAATCCAAGAATGGGGGGGTTGGATGAGGCACAAAATCTAACTGATGAAAGTATCAGAAGTTTAATTGACGCTGGTTTGCATCTAAAGACAAGGTACATGTATAATGGCACTCAAATTCCAGGGAGCCTACAACGTTGCAGACGAAGCCTACAGTATTGCATGCAGCCACAGTGTGAATTATTGTATGGCAGCAGCAGTGTGAAAGCCAGGGAGATTTTAAACTCGTGCCCCAACCACAAAAGGTCAGTAAAACAGAAATGTGAGAAAAACAACTATCCATCCATGTTCAGACTAATATAAATGTGAGGTACAACTTCTCAAGATTTCTTTCACAAGGATCTGTGAGATTATGCCAGAAAAGTGTTACATGTCCTCCACACAGTGCATTGTCAGCATCTATAAAATACCAAAGTGGATACGTCATGTGCAAAATTATGTATGTAAAAGATATTTCTAATAGCGTGAGAACTAGCACTTGAACCAGGACATGCTCCTACTTTATGCACTTTCTGGTTCACAGTGATGTCACACTTAGGTTCTCTATACGGTATACACATACAGTGTAGTAACCCCTATCTGACTTAAGGTCATTATCCTTCAAATTGCTCTGACACAATAAAAACAGTGGCATATAGGGAGCAATCATTATAAACTTGAATTTGATGGCCATGCCCATTTTGGCCAAAAAATAACCACCTAAAAGTGGCAGTACTTAACACAAACACTTTGGTTCAATGGTGCTAGAACTTGCGCTTTCAGCTTTTTTGAGCTCCAATTATACCAGACACTTGTATCAACCGAAATGAAAGGGGTGGTGTTCGTAATTTGACACGGCAGGCGCTCTGTGTTGAACTTCGTAAGTGTGACGTCACTTCAGTTTAAACCACACCCAATGCACAATTGTTGTTATTTTTTCTTTTGATTTTACGTGTCAAGTCATCCTGAAAGACCCTTCCACAAAAATTTGCTGCCTGACAGTCTGAATTTAACATACCTTTATGTATTTTGTGTCTTAACTCTTTACTTTCCATCATCTGATCGTATTAAGAATTGAAGCTGACACATACAGCCTCGTTTTCAAACGCGGAAGTGCGCAGATGGACGCTAAAAGCGTCGTATTGGGATCCCTCTAGTCCTTCAGATTTCTCAATCCAAGACCATTTACTATACAATAGTAACATTTTCTTGACAAGATATCCTGTTGTTGCATAACTGCATGTTTACATGTATTCCCGTACATACAAATGTACCAATCCATGTACGCATGCACACGCAGTCTTTTACATGTCTATCTTTTTCATTGCCTGAAGCAAAAAACTCACCAGCTTCCCTCCAATGGGGTGGGAATGCAAAAAACCGATAATATTGTCAGTCATATTTTTTAACTGTACCAATCTACCCAGTTTCTTGAATATGAAGACATTAACAACTGAGACGGGTATCAGATGGAATTTATATTAATGAGGTATCCATTCACTGTTTTGTATCAGATAAATGGAGTACATGTAATCAGTGTTGTATTCCAGTCCATCACAAGTCCCTATCACAAGTCTTTCCGTCTTAAGCAAATTCACAAGCTATTCAAACGAACTGTGACGAAAGCATTCTTTTGTCATTGTTCACCCTGTTACTTATGATTGGCCCAGAGAAGGGAATTGTAAAAGGACTTGTGATGGACTTGAATACAACACTGCATGTGAGGCTACACTAACGGAAAGACCAAATACAACACTGTGCTTTATGAATTCCCAAAGACTGAGCCAAAAAAGCACAAGAGATATCTCACCTGCTTTATAGGTAGATGCTTGACCCGCTGGCCCAGTTGGACTTGGGGGTACACCTGGTCCTGCTGAACGTACTGTTCCTGCAGGTCGTACTGGTCGGACTGTTCCTGGCCCACAGTGGCTCATGGGTACAGTGCTCGTACCTCCTGGCTTGCCACCAGTCCCGGTTGGAGGTGAAAACATCTACAGGTATCAAATATAGCAAAATAGATACAAAATAAATTGATTGGACAAGTACCGTTACATGTAATGTACAGTAATTCATCAGCGCCTTATCATTTATAGTACATAAAAAATGCAGTTCTTATAATGAATATTCCAAAACATCTCTTCACTTACTAATAACACCCTTCTACTTTACATTTAGCTGGCAAACCCTGAGGATCTTCCAAGTCATGCAGGCGCAAGTATGGCACAAAGAACCAATGTTGACATCTTTCTCTTAAAAATTATCAATTCAACTAAAAACACCTTCATATGGCAATGATCTGTGACATAATACGATTCAGCTTTTTAAAGACGGCTTCCGAGCTGCCATGACTGAAAAGAAAAAAGCACTCACACAAGCTTCATCGTATGTGTACATGACAATCCTGTTATACTGAATGAATACTGCTATACTGAGCAGTTCAGGTATTTAACAAATATCTTCCTCCCCCCCCCCAGCTCCTGCGTTTTCTGTGAATCTTTACAGGACGTGGAAAATTTGCTTTAAGTAAAAGAAACATATTTAAGACTGATGATAAGGACTGAAATGCCTTGTTTCTTAACTACGCATCCATATAGGACATGTGCAACATATGTACCAGTACGCATCTATAAAAAGGTACTAAACTTGGCATTCTATTTGGCCAATTTCGGCACCAGTAAAAATAGTGGCTTTAGTGTGTGTTTATCATATGGATACTACAGGTACATATACATGTAATGTTCCTGTCTCTGCCTCCTGTATCTGAGAATAACCACAAAGCCCTTTTTGTTACTTGGGAAACAAGTTAAGCCATAAGGACTATACATGTAGTCCTACTCAACTCCCCCATACATAAAGGTGCATCTTCTATGTATTATTACAATGGAGCTCACCTTAAGCTCAGTCCATTATCATCTCCAGACCCCTGGTGGGTTTAACACCTTAGTTAAAACCAACCCATAACATACATGTACCTATTCCTTTAGCTGTAATCCCACAATGCCTTATTCAATAATAAACCGACATTTGTTAAAAAGTAAACTGTGGTAGAACAAAGCAACTGCTTAAGAAAAGGTCTACAGGTTTTGTACATGTAGGTAAGTGTATACAGCAACATATATATGTAGCGTTGTATATATACATAGCAGTACATTATCAGAAAAAAATGAAAATTCCAGTACTAGCATAAAAAAATATCACAAGCAACATCACAGCCTCAAATGTAAAGTCTGCATTGATGCATCTTATATGCACATATATGGCTTATTAATGACGGATAATGGATTTACCATATGAATGATAAAATCTGCAATCCCATTAACCACAATGGCTGACATACAAGCAAATCATGAACAGGTGACTTTAAGACACTATTGTGCATTTACATCTTTACACATGATTTATGGAATAGATGCATACATGGACACATACATGTACATGTATGTCTACATAATGGTCTACAACGTTCTACATATACATGTACATGTACATGTATACATTTATTTTATAGTGCAGTAAAATGATAGCCATTCTTTAAAGTCATTGTGTGTATCAGTAAAGATGGCCCAGATTTACTGAGTCCATCAAAATCAAGCAAGACTGTAAGTACATAGCAGTTATGCTTTAGGTTTATTTCTGATTGAAACAATTGTACTCCTCAAGAATGACTGTACACTACATTTATGATGAAGAATTTTGGGAAGGATGAGCATACATGTATATGTACATAATTATGTACATGTACATACATGTACATGTATCATGCTCCTTATATTTCTACATACATGTACACTGTACAGTAAATTCTGTTTAATACATGCATTATACCCATCATTTCTAAATTTTAAAACCAATGTGCATTAACTTTCAATGGAATTAATGTACATATGTTTTCTTTTTATAGTCTTACTTTTAATAAACAACTGTATGGGTTAAATGCAGATGAACTCTCTTGACCTGAGTCGACTAGCACTCCTTGTGACCTGGTAAGAGGAATGCAAGTGAACCCTGTGACTGGTTGAAGCATCATCACCAGATTGCCTGCAGCACTTTCATATCCCCACCATACTCATACCGTGTTTTTGTAAGGGTAATTGGTATGAAATGAGAGTTGACATAGACTCAGACATTTAAAATTAACATAATCAGAAAAGCTTCCTCTGACCTGGTAAGACTATTTGGCTTTTTTATGCCTTCTTTACACACTGCTAAAAATTACTTTTTATTTTATTCCCGATGTAAATTCATTCTTCATAACAAGTTGAGGCAAAAACAATAAAAAAATACTCATTACAATGTTTATTAAACCAATATTTCAATTAATCTAATGCAAAAAAGTGCAGTGCAAACTAATGCAATGTGGAGAGAAACTTTACACAAATTAAATAGACAAATATGCATACTGTAACTTAACATTTCCACAAAATATTTCATCAAATTCAGAATATCAAGTTTAAAAATGTCAATTTTTAACACAACAGAACATTTATCTCATTGCAAAGACTACAAGGCTCTGATGGTAACTACACGACTTAGTACTGATACATGTAATCACTACTGTCCTGAAAAGATCTTGTGAATGATTAAAAACACCTACTTGTATGCGTAAAAACATTTCTTCTATTAGCATTATCATTCATGACTTTCTACAGCCTCTTAACTGCATATTCATAATTTCACATAGCAAAAAAATATTGTGTCTACAGCAATCAGCAAAGCTATCGAAAATTTCAAAACTATTTAAAGCAAGATTTATTGTTAAACTTACTGACTTTTGAAATTGAACTGACAATAAACTGAGGCCAAAAAGAATACCAAAGTCGAAGGTGACACCACATTTCAATATGTGACTCTGACTTCAACAGAAAACCCCCAAAATGACCAATTTTGTGACCACAGCAATAGTGCCCTCATTTGTTAGTAATTTCAAATATTAAAAGTTCCCTTTTCACCAAGAGTAACCAGAGAGATGTATGGTAGTTTTCTTACATTCAAGACGAGTAGAAAGTTGCACAAAAAAGTTCCCAAGGAAAATTCATAGGGCTGATTCAAATCAAATAATTGGGCAGCCATGTACACGTAGACCAGCCAATGCTATGATGCAAGCAACTGACTGATGTGAAAAATCTTGCTTTGTGTATATGCCTACTGACTACAAAAAAAATACTCATAAAAATATTGATAGATTTGATGGTTTCCAACAACCCTTGCCGACTTAACATTGACAGCTTTGGTCAGTTACATGTATCACTGTTACTCCACTGATACAGGATGGTTCGCATGACTTCCTGCCCCATCTAAGGTATCATAGTCTCAATTTAGCAATGGCAACCAGTCCACATGTACTGTAAGTGTACCGCACGTAGCATGCGATTTGTTAACAATAAGGAAACTTTATGTCATTTTGTAATATGATTTCAATTTTTTCGACAGGAATCAATCACTACAGACCTGCCAACACGAAGCTAATCATTTAAACTATGGTTGAGATTACCCCCCCCACAAAAAAAATTCCGATTTGTGGTCCACATTTCTGTTAGTACCCTTGCTTGGGATCAATGGAACAATCCAGATGTGACTGCATGATCATCAGTGTCTGTATAATTTTTATTTAGTGACAACTTGCAATAATAATATAAAAATTATTCTAATTATGATTTGTGAAAAATATTGTTAGAATAAAAATGTCTCCTATGCTATATGTACAATTTGTGGTCACGAAGAGACTACCATATTGACATGGCCAATTCTCAATTTTGTCTGGGGCAGCCATCTCCCTCACTGAACCTTCAATCACTCAAATTTCAGTTGAAATATCATGAAGGTTTCATAACTTCATTCAATGCAGTTTGCATCAATATCTAATCATTACAAAGAATGCTGATGTGTACATTCATGACTTATATTTGCTACAAATCTATTTCCACTCCAGGGTGAAATCATTATTTTGCTGTTGGGGATATCAGCTGCCTTTAAGAATCTGAAATCACCTTGAAATAAACCTACAGAATGCAATTTTTGTTTAAAAAATAAATTTTCTCCCTTCCTTTTTCATGAATTTTGCATCCAAATATTCAAATATTAAATAATCAATCTAATATTTGGATATTCAGTATAGCCCTGAAAATTCATATTCCATTAACACTATACATCAGGGATGAGATTTGAGGAAACTGAAAAATCCGGAAAAAAATGTTCCTCCTTAAGTATGTCCCTAAATCCTCCATTTTAACAACTACCTTTTAGTATCCTCGCTTGTTGAATTTTTAAAATTTATTTCTAATTAGGCGAAAAAAATCCTGCTTCTGGTTTTCTGACCCTTAAATTTTTATCTACAAGTTTGAACAGCAAATTTTAAAAGTCCTGTTTTTTTCTTTTTCACAAAACACCTCTCAACATTTTCCATGCCAAAATGCATGTATTTATATGTTTTTCTACTTCAGTTCGCAACTTGTCAAAAGAAACTTCCATTATTATCACAAATTCCCTTCACATTTCACTTTGGCGGTGGTGACAAGGTGTCAATGTGCAATACATTGCAGCAATGCTACGCTGGTTCCCACAATGCTGCACCATTGCCATAGAAGGCATGATGGAAAAATTTTGCAACCAGTCTGTGACCGAGCCAGAATATAGCATCATTGTACTACACGAACTGTACACTACACGACACACACACAGCTCTACAGCTCCATGTCGAAAAACAACAGTGTTTCAAGAAGATTTCTGCAATTTAATTCACAGAACTTGATCTCTTGTCTATGTACGTACATGTATTTTTTGTGCTCATGAATTTGGTTTGAGGTTCTATTGCTCTTACCGTGCTTGTACTTGAAACAAGCGTGTTTCCGCCAAATTTCCTGCTGCAAGACAAGGCTCATCGCCTGCCCCTCTAAATGCAACAAGCAGATTTACCATGCTACAAACAGAGATTGTTCTTCAGTTTCCTGTCACGATTACCTGACCAGGGTTGTGCAGAGTGTGTGTTCATAATTCTTTAAGACTTTTTGACTGTTTGTATTTTTACATTGATTAAGGCAAATTTTCATTACTTTGCGGCAATATTTTGATTTTTTTTATCCCCATTCAATAGCACAAAAATAATTTCTGGCCTACCAACCCTATTTTTGAGAGGTAAGTAATCGTACGCAGAGCTTTTTTCTTGGTCTAATAATTGTCTTCCCCTTTGCTGCCTCTTTTCCTTCCTGACTTTTTATGGGTTTTTCAAGCCTTTATCAAGTCAAAGATCTCCTCTAAAATTGATAATGTAACAAACATCAAATAGCGCCTGAGTTTTTTGTAAATGCGACCAGTAACAATGCATAGCACATGTACAGTTAGAAGCTGAGCCGAGCTCTTACAGTTCAATACCATATACCCCCACTGTTCAGTAGTATATTATTACATTTCAGCTGGAGTAAAATTAAACACAAGAGTGCGCGCACTATCCTGCTTTCACGTTTGTGCAAAATTTGGAAAACACAACTCGTAGTTCTGGCAATGCCATGCAAAGGAGAAAAATCTTTAAGTCCTGAATGCATTTATCCAAAAATCCAGCAAAATCAGGGCAAATCTCACCCCTGTATACATGTATGCATGTATACATGTACATGTATGTGTTTACAAGAACTGAATACATGTGTCAGTAGCTATGCTGTAATTTGTTTTTAAACCTTGTGACATGAGAAGGGAAATCCCTACTATCCACTAGGTAATGTCTGTAGTGATATACCAACAAAATATTTATATGTATAGCCTTTTAGATACAATGAAATCAACTTTGCATGGTACATGTACACTGACAAGCTTCAAACCAATAAACTTACAGCACTGAAATCCAATAGGTCATTCAATTCTTTGTCAGATGGTCCCATACTAGGCATCCTTGGTACAGAGTTCTGCATCTTGACTCTTATGCCTGTCTAAAATGCAAAGAAAGATTTTTAAAATCATTTTGGTGACATCCACTTTTGAAGGAATGAAAAATTGTAATATTGAATTTTTCTAAATGAAATAAAAAGCTCCAGCTCATTTATAGCTGACAAAAAGAAAACAGTAGTTTTCAAGTCAATGCAGCAAATACTGTACCATCCTCCATGTACGATGTACGGTGCATTGCTACTTACATGCATTACATTATTTCTGCATGTTTGGCAGTGATTTGTACCTTGACAAAAGGCATCATTGAGTTGTAGCACAGATATACTACATTTATTTTCTATAAAGGTACATGTATTAACCATGACAACCTTACAATCAAACCTCACTCATATGTTAATTTATTTTAGGTGAAGGAAAAAATTCTATACGTGTAGCTTCTCTGAAGGCTGCTTTTTTGGAGGTTGCCTGAAATTTTGTAAATTGTCAACACAGGAAAATAAGGTGAAAAAAGGAGAAAAAAGGACAAAAATATCAAACAATCCATCAGAAATAAATACTTGCACGTCAAAACTTCAGACTCTGTCAGTGACTTTTCATATCTTGCAGTCAACTATGTGATCTTCGAACAAATCTTCATGTGGCCACAAATGACTATTCAGCTATACATGTATAATGTAGCTCAACACTGGAGGTTACTCTGGAAGTGGCTGCACTGACTTCCATACCTGTGCTACTTTCAACTTAACGTAGTCAAAGACAAGCAAGTCTATCCTAAACTGCCTAATATACATATTTTTATACTCTTAAAGTACAGTTACTTAAATGTACGTGTACAAATTAAATTCATTAGAACATGACAGTAACATACATGTGTTTTCACAATTACATATACATGTATCTCAACTGAGCATAACACTTCACTGTAGAATTTAATGTTGAAACATGCATTCAAAGTGGGGTGTTTTGTACAGTGTAACTGCCATGTTTACAGGTCTAATGTTTGCCCAACCATGTCACCATACACGCATGCATGTATCAGGTACAGTAAAAATGTTGCTGTGCAGAACAATTGTTTACCAAACATTCTCCTTGGTTCCTGAGTTTTCTGTACACTTTTTCCAAACATTAAAGGTTGGCTTCATATAAATGCAATATACACTGTACTTTAGACTGATGATGATGACTGGAATGTTAAGGAAAATGTTACTTGTGATGAACATGAGTGAACACGCAGTGTGGTCAATAGGCATATTGTTTGTGGGCACATGCACAATAGTGCTGGTGAATACATGTACTTATTTTTATTTCATAGTTGATTTTTTCCAGTGATATCGCCAATACCAAGATAAAATTGTCCAGAAATTGTGCATGATTAAAAAACTCCCCATTACTGTACCATACATACACGTATAAATGTACTAGCAGTAAAGCTTGGAAAAATGTGACCAGCTCTGCAAAAAGGTATATGCTGTCACTTTTTTTAATTTGAGTTACACATATATAATCAAACTGCTCACATCCTAAGCTTTCATTTGATATATAATTCATCCCAGTGGCATTTTGCGTTTTGGAGTTATTTGCCATTTGCACATTTATATAATTTCATTTTATCACACCTGCTTTTGAGATAATGCCCTTCAACTGTAACCCCCTAGGCTCCTGCACTAGAAATCACACTGAACCTCAAAAAATCCAACAGGTACATGTACAGTAAACTCTAAGTCAACATCGCGTAACTCGTCATATTGTCCAAGTCGGCCGTTTGACAAACGACCCCATCGTCTGTAATGCATTTCCATTGAAAATTTCATTTCTCAGTGGGCATTTGTAAGTCGTCCTTTCGTATTTGTCGGCATGTTTTTCATGGCCCCTTTTCCGCAAAACCATCCAAATTCCTTTGTGCAAGTCGGCATTAAAAAAATTGTGCTTCGGTATTGGTTTCCTTTGCCGGGGTTGCCAAGAAGTGTCAAGTGACAAGTCCCATGCACGCGCGGCCAGCATGAGTACATCAATACCAGTAACCCCTCTTGTGCTACACGCATGCGCTCTGTCCATTTGGGGGGTCGCCTTATTGAACATAGTCTGGTTCCCTGCCCAAAGATTCACGGACGACCCTTGATAATGATTCGTCAGGTAGTCAGAATCATCGGGTCTGGTATCCTGAATATATGGAATGAACTTAACCAATGCGCATGTGTGGATGAGTGTACATGTTTTCTATACCCTAACGGTATCACGTACATGTACCTATTGCACTGTCGAGTCGTGATGTGATAGGCAAGTGGCTTACCGTCCTTGCTTCGTTCTTAAGGGCACATGATCAATTATCGAATTTGCAGGATAATAATCGAGAACGAATTTGCTGGGATTGACCATGGAGGTAGAAATGAACATCGTACCAGGGTAAATGAAAGCCACTGAATTAGTGCAAGGAATCATAATGTACATAGGAAATATATGCCGAGTGTACGTGTAAGTCGGCAAAATGGCAACTTACAACACAAGTCGGCCTTCGCGTAAGTCATCATAATTTCTTCAGTCCCGAGAGTGCTGACTTGGGACTTGGTTTGGGATAGTTAGGGTTAAACATAACAAACAGAAACATTAAACTTACATTAGACAATCTCTTGGTTTTCCTCAGCAACAGAGGCTTTCTGGTCAAGCAATTGGCCCCAAAATATTTCCAAATATTTTCACCCTCGGTACATGGAATGGGTCATTACACATTTTTGCATTGCCGGACTTAACACACCTTTTTTGCAGAGTTGGTCACAAATGGCTTTTAACCCATTACCCCTGGTACTTCTCGCTTTTAAATTCAACCAAAGCTACTAACAACTTTTGTAAACAAACTTTGAACTAGTGAAGTAGTGTACACAATCTGCACAAACTGCAATTTTTCAAAATTGGCTGATTTGGGGGTTTGTTGTTTACTTTGGGTATCATTCTATGTACTTATTTCATTTGTTGAGTTCACTGTTTTGGAAAAAATCAAGAATAAAAGCTATTTATTTTTAAGCTTCCATGCACGGCATGTGCAATTTGTCTTGCAAAAATTCATGAATCACAGGACATTCCCAGAGTGCCAGGATAATGCACAGCAAGGTCGATCTGCAGATCAATTATGGCCCTACAAAAGAGCATTTTTCCACAGCTTCCAGTAAATGTCAGTGGTCAGCAAATTTACCTTCAAATTTGTGTCTCTTTCTTCCATAATGCAACGTTGAGAATTTGTGGAATAAACACTCCAAGTCACTGCATGATCGACCTCACAGTCATGGTTTGTCACATGTACTGCGGTAAAAACCATCCACACACACTTCAGTGCACATAATAAACACTTTACAAATCAACAAAGGTGGTCACTACTCTTGCATTTGGGCAGGAGGGTTATTGACTGTAAAAATGGGAGGTTAAATATCTCAAAATTGCAGATTTTGTTTGAGAAAGCAGGTTTCACCATGAAATTGAAAAGGAGCAACCATGTTGCACAAGTGCTGTTCAGTTTGGGCCATATCTTTATAGTAAGGGTGATAGTGAGACAGTGATGTATTCTTATGAGGTAAACTCCTTTTTCATAAAGAAACTTTAATTTCAAACCAATCCAAATTCTCCTTTAGCCTATTAATTATGGTTGCATTTGGGCATACTGTAGGCATGTTGGCAGCTTTTATTTTACCTGTTAATATAGATCCCTCCAACAGCTAACTCATCACACATTTTTGCTGCTCCTGAAAAAGGTTGCATTATTTAAACAAAATGTACTTTCCAATGATTGTCCATCCAGATGATCATTGGAAAAACTATACAATTTCTATTTTCTTGAAAATGACAGCATTCTGGGGACAAGATTTCAGATTGTCCGACACTATTACATATGTATATTTAACACGTACTTACATGTACATTACAATAAACTATCAAAGATAATTTGACCATCCCATTTTTGAAGTTTTACAAATTGTGCACATTGCCATTAATTGGCTATTAACATGTATTAGTGCAGCCTAAAATGAAAATCCATTGTTTAACATTCTCTACCAGATATAAAAACAGCAGTAAAGCTTGTGCCTGTATGCATACGTTAGTGGAACACATCAAAAGTACAACCTCTATACATGTACATGTATCTATGGACACCACTGTGCTGCACTAGAAAGTAAACTGGACATGTGTGTACTGATCACGATAATCACAGGTTCTCATCACAGAGCCATAACTTTGTTACTTGATTACATGGAGTAGTACTGAGTACATGAAGACTACAAGAAAGGTAAAGTACTGAAGCTAAAGAGTCCATTCTAAACAACATGCAGGATTTATCATATTGCTGATTTTCAACTTGATTTCACTTCACGATTGGTCTTCCAGTGAGAACAACCAAAAGGTGAAATATGAATCAAAAGGAACATTCATTGAACAAAATGCAAGACTTTTTGTGTTATTTCCAACTTGTTTCTCACATACATGTAAGCACATTTAACAAGGTTAGAGATGGAAAGATGTGCATCAGCAACCAAAAAAAGCTACACTGTACACATAATGACTGCTATGCCCAACAACTTGTTTGGACCCTGTTGTGTTCGTTATAGTGGCGTGTATTGAATGTCGTTGTCTAAGTCTGATTTACAAGACTAGTTATCATGCAGTTAAAAGGTACTAGTAAGTCAGAGAAAAGTTATATCCTGGGCTGTGATACATTGGACTTTTACAAGAAGAGTAATGAAGTTTTGCATTCTAAATGGGATTCTATTGTCACAATCCGGTATTGTTTATCCCCAAAAAAACGCAACTGCCAACATTAAAAAAAATATAAATACTGGGATAACTGCAAAACACAACATTCTTTTAAAAAAATCAAAATAGTGGGATATCTGCAATATCGTTTTTATATCTGTGATTTTTTTTGTTACTTGAAGTGTAAAATAAAATTGATAATACATGTATGCTGTTTCACCGTCCTCTAAAACTTCACTGATTTCCACCGACTGAGAAAAACTAACCCCAATCGCTGAAATAAGTAAATGCATGCACCAGAACATGTAAGGTGTCAAAACCTAGGACTGAATCTCATTTATCGGGTATGGCTCACAACTCACTAAGATTCCACCTGATAGTGTGCATTTATAGGTAGTATGGGAACAGGGTAGCCAATTCCTGTAACAGGTGGTAACCTGGGTACCCATAATTACAAAAACATATTAGTCAAGTAGTTTCCACCACGTCCCCACCCACTGACTCTACTGCCAAGCTGCTGGATCCAACACTGCACAGGAAGGCTCAGTGGAGTGCATTCAAGAACTAGAATTGCACGGGACTACTTTGCAACTTAAACTTTTTATTTCTAAGTATCTAAGTGTGCAATAAAACACAGTAAATTCTTGACAGCCCAAACCTCAGGGGGAACAACTTAAAAATCACGTTATCAAAATTTCAAGGTAACGAATGTTTTCAGGTCTTGGGGTCATACCAGGCCTTCACATGATATACGTAATCAAAATCAACTCGCTCAGCGGTGGTGTGTTTCTGTGGTTATATTCTGTCTCTTTGTAAATTCTAAGGGTGTATAGTTTCGTTAACGAATTATCATTTTTCTAAGATTTTATGTTGTTGTTAGCTAAACATTTCCTTTCCACTAATAAACAAGCAATGAACCTCTCAAACATTCCGGTACCTTCGTGGGGCAAAATTTTCATGTCATTTAATGTATGATGAATTCCAATTTTGTGTAAGAGATTCATGTGCATCTTACGATTGAATTCAAAACCGAGAAAGCCAATTATCATGATGATCATGCCTTTTTGGGGATACCTGCCTAACGTTAAGTTTGATAATGTAATTATCCCAACCCCTCATTTCTGTGGCATGTCATGTCAACAGTTTCCATGCGACTCAAGGTACAGTGTGTATGGGTGATTGATTTTCGAGGACATAAGAATCATTGGCAGAAATTTTTATCAGGTTACACAAGAAAAAAAGAAAACAATCCATCTAATTCTGCTAGTACTGCAGTTGGTAAGGAACCATTTCTTCAGAGCCATGATATTATTTATGAATTTATATTTATAGTATCTAAGAGTTTTAATGATACACAATCCTGGACAATTTTATCAGTGCATCAGTGATATGACTGAGAAAGTATCGACTTAGAAAAATCTGTATTTCCAGTACATGTATTTGCTACGGGTATACTTGTTAAGCTTAGAAGCCCTCCAGCTTGGAACTTGTGTACATGTGACAATAAAGTTGTTACACACACATTTCTTACAGCTGACTTTCAAAATGATTTACAAATAAACCAGCACAGCACCCTACAGTTCATGCAACAGCCATACAATCCCCCCAAATTCATTTCATGTACATGTAGCTGCATGTTGTATGGGGTGACATGTACCTGTGTGGTACAGCTGCTTACTGTTTTTGAGAGGTAAGGATGAAACATTCATTTCAGTGCTGTCATTCTTTACGATGTAACCAAACATGTTCACATAACTTAAGTACTGAATATATCTGGCCATTAAATTGAGGAACATTACTTAAAATAGGATTATGCATTTGATAAATTAGATTGACAACATTTAGGTTTGAGGTTAAAAATGCTTTTGTACCCCAACCTATAAACAGACAGCCATGATTGCAAACCCATGTGCAGGATCTTGTGGAACATGTCATCATGGCAGTTGGGAGCCATAAAAAAGACATGACGTCAATATAATAATGATGCTATAGTCATCATACATCAATGCTCTAATGACGCTAATTGTGTGTGTTGACACTAAATAGCACAATCACATGTACATGAACATGAGTGTTACATGTTTCTCCCACCGAGGGTAATGCTATTTAGCATCAACAAGCATCAACGAGCGTCAATAAAGTGTCAATAAGTTATTCAAGCATACTTAAGCAAAAATTTCATATTTATAACAGGCTCCAACATACATATCATCATGTTCAATTTATCTGCAATGATACATGTATTTGTGTGAGTGTGGAAATTGGAGTGACAAAGTCCGGCCTGCTCGTGCAACACGACCAGCTGCCATCTTGTTTTCATGTGTATAGCAGAGGAAAGAAAGATGGCGGCCTCCATACATCATGAAAAATGTTCATTTCAACAGGCGAGAATCTGGAAGCAAATTAACTGTTTCTCTTACACAGTAGCAGGTGTTAGCGTCTCTAAGATATGATAAAACCACATTTAAATCTGTAAAGGGTATTTTCAAGTTGTTGACACTTTGTTCAGACCTGCCAACCGCTTGATCACAAAACTATATTCTGAAACTTCAGATGTCATATTTTTTATTTAAAAATCATATTTTGCAAAAAATGAGCATATTCCTCCAGGTGATTGTTTTTTGACCGCTTGTCTGGATTGGGTCTACTCCAGTCCAAGTAACTCGGAACATGGAGAAAGGATGCAAAGCTTGGACTAGATTCGGTCAACTCTTCTTCTCACATAAAAATAATCACATGAGAAATCCATTATTGAGGTTAAAAGTGATATGGCCCTATTTCCACCTGACTTGACCAAGTTTTCAAACTTTGAAATCTTGAAATGCACATCGCATGTCCAGGCTTTTGAAATTTCCTGGCGTGGATTTTGTCACCTGCCTGCTGGCCGGCCATAAAATGTCTCCATCCTTGTTTATTTCCGCAGATTTTTAACTTGAGGATCGGTCTTGTCAAAGATTGCATCCAAATTGGACCCTCTTTAGACAATTCATAAAGTAGTGTTGCACTGATATGTTGATGAGTCTATATGTATTTCCAACAATTGTTTGAGTATGTAAAAGCCGTGCAATAATATATAACACACTTTTTTTCCCAATTTCCATATTTATGATGGCGGGAAATGTGTGCTGCATAGAACAATGGAGATTGTTTGTCACTTTTTCCATTGATGCACAAGCGACTTTAAAGAGTCTAACTAATACATACATGAATATTGATATTTCATGCGCAGCCTATCACAACATTATGCTCGAGTGGGTGCCGAATGCGGTTTACACACAAGGTTTGTACATGCACGTGCATACCCTGTACGTACATGTACATACACTGTATGTGAGCAAACACATAGTGTACATGTATATATTCGCAGCCGGTTTTTTTCTAGCATAATGTACACTGCAAGCATTGAACTGCGATTGTTTTTTTTCAGGCATATCAAACCCATAATTTATGGGGGAGAAACCGTACAATCATATTTTCAAGAATTTCCAATGGGAGATGCGGCTAAATCGTACTAGTTGGCAGGTCTGTTTGTTGATGCTACTCGTGTATGTTGTCACTTGTTGATGCTTATTGGGGCTTAAAAGCACGACCAATAGGGCCTACAAAGGTAGGTAAAACATTAATTTTTTTCCAAATTATCCTTTATCATTAAACATACACTTTCCACTTCCTTGATTCTTTCTGGAGGTCTGTCTCAACACAGAAGCAATCAAAATCACCATTTGATAAATTCTTGGCAATTAACACACAATGTCTTTAAGAGAAATGGCAAGACAAATCCCTCACAAGGGTCACCACAGATATGCGTCATCTGCTAGAATAATTTTTCAGGCCGACAACTATAGGTCACTTTTGCGCATGCGCGAATACACAAACTAACTGCACACACAGTCTACGGGGTCCAAGCCTATGTGCCTGACACATGTAGGCCTAAACATGCTAATGTCAGACATCAGTTGATTTTCCTTGCTATGGTTAGTTCATGTTAGGGCCTACTTAGACATTAGGCATGTTAGACCATGCACGACATGGACTGATTTTAATGAAGGGCCAGGCAATTAAAATCCAACATGTATGGCTAGGGACCTGGCGACTGTGAGACAGTATAGTCGCCAGGTCTCTTATTTCGTCACTTAGGCCTACTGTGAAAACAATAATGCCAATGGATTAGTTTTACATGTAGGTGGCAAATTTCTGGACCTAGCAACTAGGCCCATAATTGCTTGAGCACGTTGCGTGGTGTGCATGGGACCCAACTCCATGACGTTCTTGGCCTAGTGAGGCTGAAGTAGTAAAACCATGAAAACAGTAAGCCCTGGAGTTGAGAGAATACCGCCATCGCAATGTCACTACAATTGCTTACCATGCTTAGAATAGATCTGGCCTAGGCTAAAATACTACCAGCTTACCTACCTGTGTACTGTTACAATGTTTAGTGCCACAGATCCCAGAGGTCAAGAAGCAAAAACCAGCAATGCATAACTCTGAAAGCCTTATTTCCGAGGATTTGGTGCCTTGAATATGAATCAAGAACTTATTTAAAGTCAATATTCTTTAAAAATCTGCAGCAAGCACACGATCTTACACACCATGCCTATCAACACATTAACCACAACAAGCTGGCAGACATCTTTATTCTTTAACATTAACGGGGCTTTTGTTGAGATTTCTTGTAGATCATATTCTTCCGCTTACTGTTGATGACCTTTAACTCTAATGTTTTAAGTTCAAGTTAACATAGCAGCCATCAAATAATTTCAGTAACCATGAACACTTCAATGAATGGAATATTTTTCTAAACTAATTTTGTTTTAATTAGAAGGTTTCAAATTGCGGTGTTGGGAGAACTATTTTTTGTTTGGATCTGCGCATACAATTAAATACACGGTTATGTGCACATGTGGACCACAGAGGTCGCATTATTCGTTCCTCTAGACGGGTTCCCTGATCAAGAGTTCCCTGTCCCCACCGTACTGTCCACTAACAAAGACCTGAGTAAGCCATGTCCAAATTTTCCATACGGCTGGAGACTACGGCTGCGGCTTCCGTGCGCTACCTGAACTAATGTACTGTACATGCACATTGTACATGTACATGTAGGTCGGCTTTTGTTTTCCTTTTTCCGTGACCTGGACTATTATGAAAGCCCACGGATGCCAATTTCAAAAAATGTGAAGGATGTTTACCATTTTTTAAGGTTGTTGTTATGAGATACACTTTTTCAAGCTCGGTTTTACGAGGTAAGGCCTATGTATTTTCAAGTTCGTTTTATACCGCATAAAACGAACTTTATCTGGAAAAAATGATTTATTTCCAAAAATACAATATTTCTAAAAAGTATCTCGCAAAACGAACTTTGCAAAAATATATCCCATAAAAATGAACTTTGAAAAACAAAAAGAAAAAATCATCTTATGAACACTTATACTTCGTGGTGCTATGGCTTTCAAACTATCGCCCCAAATTTGTGCGTTTTTGTAAAGCACATACGTGAAGATGGAGATGATTTTAGCCTTCCACACAGTTATTTGGCATCTGATATCCCTATCTTCGCTCATGTAAAACTCATTACCCATTCACGCCGGGGTTCAAAAGGTCACATTTGCCCGTGATGGATTTACTATTCAACAGTTAGGAGAGTCCTTGTTTCACGATTTATACAGTCGAGCCTCGCTTATTTTGAACAGATTGCTGCAGACCAAAACCTGGGGGAAAGGTTGTGACCCGATTCCGGCTGCTTCATACTAAGGGTGCACTGAACTTATTCAAGCTCCCTTGAAAATAGTGTAAAATCAACCAAGTTTGGAGCCCATGGCAGGCAACTGAAGTCCCTGAGGCCCCTCGAACAAAAAACAATGTGTTGTTTGGTCCTTCAGATTTCATTTGATT